AGGTCCTACCAATTGCATCTTGGTGTTCTTTGACTGAACTACCCTAAACAGGATATATAATGAATCCTAGCTTCTTATCGGTTCGTAGATACTACTGAAGACCCAATTTCAATGATAGGTTTGACCATTAGCTATGGCTCACGCGGTATACATTATGTTTATATAATGTAAATTGCGCCATAAACTGTGAAATAAAACCAGTTTGGAAAATAAAACCAGTTCTGCAGTGTTATGTGACTTCTGAAATAGTGAAATTCCATGGACAGGGCAGCCATTGAAGAACTGACCTTAAATGATATGCAGAAAGCCAAAGGTGCCCATTCACTTCTGAGCAATGAGAGCATCTTTGGCACCTGAGCAAGCTGCATGTCCAAAGGACCGGCTCCAGACTGGATCTTATGGTCTCTCTGTGAAAGAAAAAATAAGAAAATAAGAAAAAGCACAGACATGGCATTATTGGAATTGAATGAAGTTAATTTACAGAGGGAATTCATCCAGGCCTTTTCCAATGACGAGGTACAGACAGACAATCATTAAGAAAACAAGTACTACCAAGCTTTCCCAAGGGACATAAAAGTCAGAAACTGCAGCAGCAAGATAAAGCATAGCATTTGGACCAACGCATCTAAGCAACACAGCAATAAGCTGCAGCATCTGCTCGTGACATAAAAAATATAATGATCTTTCGTGGCATTGAAATATCAAAAGATGTGTGCAATATGGGATGACAAAAGCTAAGTTTCTTGAATTGCTAAAGCAACAGAGTTCTCAACAGAGTGCAATATGGAATGCCAGATTTTTTTCTCTTCAAATCTAGTTACTACCTGTAAATATTCAAAAATTGTTGTGAATGGCAGTTTGATCAGAGAGCCCCCAGCCACCACCTGCAATCGTGAATTTAAGTGCATTCAAACATAATACTGGCAGCTACATATAGCACTAAGAGCAACAGAGTATCCTTACCGCCTGATGTTCAGAAATTGCTCTTTTCACCACCTCAGCACAATTATGGTCCACTGGAAACAGAACAAGAGTAAAACTGTGTTATAGTAAAATACCTCACACTAAAACAAAGATACTTGGAAACATGATCAACAACATTGGTCAAGGCTATCCATCCATTATATTTGACAGGTAGATGGGAGGGGATGTGATTTCCGTAAAAAAATATGGAGGCTATATAAACATATAAAATAAAGGAAAGGAATATCCATGTGTCGAAAAATATATATGTTGAATGTAAAACTATCCAGTATACTGATCCATCAAAAACATTTCTTGAGCTAGTCATATTTAATGTAGTTCTAAAGATAACTATGCCGCATGAGATGGCCTTTTTTTCCGCATGAGATGGCCTCTCTGAGAGTAACTGTTACATTGAGAAAAACAAAATTAAAGATAACACAAGCAAAGAGAAATTATATACAAAACATATCGTATTAATAAAACTAAGAAAAATGTTATATGAAAATAGCTGAAATAGTCATATTTAGCGAATTCAATCAATTCAACCAGAAAAGTAACTCGAACCTTACTTATTTGATTATTACACAATTCAGCATGTGATATCATTATATCAAAAGTTACATGTTTGTAAAAATGTTGGCGGTTAAGACTGATAATCCGAAAACAGGTGCTAACAAAACGGGCTCATAGTGGTGTACATAGTAATGACATATAATATCTAGAATTGCAAACCTTGAAGGTTTGACCCATTCTCATATCTTAAGCACTCAAGCAATGCATTATCCGGAAGATCTCTGCAAAATGGCTGGCAGGTTCCCCTACACAGAGGGTGGAGTAAGCAGTAATTAGTGAGCTATTACAAATGAAGTTGATGTTTTTGGACACAATCACAACAGGATGAATACATAATGAATTTTAGAGTGACACACGCACCTACGGTAGAGAAATATGACAGAATATCCGGACTTCAAAAAGTATCTGAAACATCATTTTAGGTGTAGTGATTATCAATATGTTACGTCTGAAGCTTTTCAGGTCAAGTGAAAATAACTATGGGGTATAAAAATAGTATGTACTATACTCTGTAGAAGCAGCTCCTCTGTGGCCTGAGCTGAAATTATCAATGTATCGAACACACCTCTTCTCTAATGGAACAGTAGTACCACCAGAAGTGACACACACTATCCTATTTGCTTTATCATTCCCTGAATGCAAGGATAAAAACGTACAAGTTAAAATGACTTAAGTTATGAGCCAAACCATCAAAACTTGTAGAGGTAAGCTTGCCTGGAGCTAAACAGTTCCTTCGAATAAATTCCTTCAACTTGGCCTTGTGAGCTGCAGCATCCTGAAGAGAAGGAGCTGAGCTGAAGAATGCCCGGATCTGTGGATCTGATGCTACACAATATTCTTCTGCATGGTTTGCCGCAGCCATCTAATTCTAATGAAGAAAATTCTTCTTTAAATAACGTAAACCTTAATTACATAGAATATATAAACAAGAACTTTTTTATATGTAAAGTTGTACTATATGTCTATATGTGAACTCAAAAACACCTCTAAATGGCGAAGAAGCATATGATGTAGATTTCATATAGACATATCTGAAACCCATGTTGAATTATGTAATATAAACTCAAGAATCCCTTTTCAATTCTTAATTTTCAGTTCTCAGAAGTATCCTAAATGGAGTTTTAGGAAGGAAAAAATAGTTATTCCCATTTTGTTTAGACATCTACTTTAGTTTTAGAAAGAGTGCACCAGGCACGACTAGGCGCAAGGAGAAAAGAAGCGATTAAAAAATTGCAACAGCTAACCTATGCGCAGCAGATTCCATAGAGCATGTGACTTTCTCGGTGAATTCCACCTTTTCGCACATCAGGAGTTGAAAACATCAGCCGCTTTTGGGTTGTCTTCAATTTGACGAGTTACTTGTTGCAAGTTTTTCTAGATTTTTTTTCTGCATGGTATTTAAATAAGAGGTCGTGGACTTCCCAGAGTCCATAAAGACTCCATATCTTCTTCTCTTTGCGTGTTGCATCGTAGAGGTTCCATATTTGGTCGCTCTTTCACGTATGTTTTTTCTCGCCTTTCTTCTTGGACTTCTTCTCTTAATCTCTTACTATTTTTCCACTTAATATCTTAAGCTCTTACTATTTTCCCAGTGCTCTACTATGTTTGACTCATGCTCTCCTACTTTAATGTTTCCATCGCAGATATAGCAGTCTGTGCTTGTGCTCTCCTTTCTGTTTTATAAGCTAATTTACTTGCTTAAGACTTAATATCATATGTGTGCACAACTATATGTGTTGCATACCTGCATGCCCAGTTTTGTATTCCAAGCAAACCAATACTAACATCATAATTCCTATTTGTAAGAAGAAGCCTTTATAACTTAACTAGAAGCCTTAGAACTGATTGGTAATCTTTCTGACAGTCTTAAATCTAGAAGCCTTAATATAATCTTGTAACTGATTTTGGTGTTGAATATACTGGTTTAATGTGACTTATGGTATTTTTATGATTTTATCATTATTTTCGGGTAAAACGTATGATGTAAGCATAGTATAAATATAGTTTACTGTTAGTAAAGATATATGCCTAAGTTCCGTCTGAAGTGTGTGCCTCTCGCCACCGCTAAATTTAACATAAACACCTAATGCCACCTCGCGCCTTTTATAACAAAGACAACTACCTTGTGGCAATAGTTTTTTATGTTGTGTATGCTCATATATCCTGTTAGTAGCAGAGCATTTGTAACGGTGATCTTAGATTATAGCATGGTATGCACGATTCATTCGGAAATTTCTTTGAGGCATTTTACAGACACATTACTGAATAATGTTTTTAATGCCCTACCTAAATTTTAGAGAGGTTATAAATTACTAGGCATAGATCTGTACAAAAGATGAATAACAAGTGTATACAATTACATATCTTAAATATAGAAAATAATGCATTTTCACCAAGATAGGGTAGTAGAGGGTGACTGGCAATGGAGAAGGGGGTTGGTAGATGGAAAACCAGCGACTGGCATTGTCAGAACGTGTGTAGGATGGTCGGCGGCGGAGGAGCAGCGTTCAACGGAGAGGATCCGCCATCAATTTATGTGTGTAGTTCTCTGTATATACCATAGCTATTTTACTTTTTTTTTTACACATAAGCTATTTTAAGTTTTACACGTATTGTATTGTTCATGACTTTGGAAACCAACCAGTATATCATTTTAAATTCTTTCTGAATGGTTCATGTTAGAACAGGCATTGGCATAAACACAACTTTCTAGAACTACAAAAAGATAAATTTGCCTTGGCATCACATATTTTGAGTGTCACATTTTACAACCTTAATGTATTCATGATATCTAATTGAAAATTAATCCATCTGTCCCACAATCTTTGACTCCTCTTTCCCTTTTCTTCTGTGCTACTAAATTTGTCTCGTCGCAAATAGTGTGTGGTTCAAAATCATTAATACTTATTCCTTTCTACTAATTTCATACTAACCACATAAAATCACTATTCTTAATAACCACCTCTTCATTTCTCAATCTTAGCGGGCCTGACTGCCTGAGGTATAACAGAACTTCATTTTACAAAATTTACAGAACTTCATTTTATAAAGGTTTCAACAATTATAACAGTTATAGATAAGATTTTTTTATGTATACAAGAGATACGTACCTACACACTATTAATAGCACATGCACTATTTACATGAACTATGAGGTAAATATCACATACCCCGCAAGCCCACAATAGCTACAATTCCAGCAGTAAAGTTGTACCAATGGGAGGGGGAATCATCCCATCATAGAAAAAAGCTAGAACAAACTGAAATTTACAATATTGAAAAAGAAAAGACAATTTAAATGATAGGAAAGGAAAACACTGAAAAAGCGTTTAGCTGGGTAAGTTCCACCAGGAAATTAGAGTTTACGTTTCTGTTATCTTGCATTATTTATGGTTAATGGCTTTGTTTGAGAACTGCGATTAACTAATTTGACGAGATCTATGAATCTATATACAATTTTAGCCACAAAAGAAATGCATTTATTGATCAATGTACGAATTAAAGCAAGAACTACATAAGAGCGAGTTTTGAGTAAAAAAAACATAACTAGTTTTTTTAAAACAAGACCTGCGAAATTTGTCTGCAGAAATAGAAATCTACATACTGTTCAACTTCCAAAATTCATTTTAAGGATGGACTTTGTTTCATCATCTTCGTAGATGTTGTCCGCTTTCATGCAGTTCAGAAGCCCATCCACATCTTCGCCTCTAGCCACATAGGACCTAAGCAGCTGGTGGTACATCTGTCTGGTCAACGGTACAGACCTTTTCAACAAACTTATAAAGCTTTCAACTTCTTTTGAGCTACACTTCTCACCAAAAGAACTTATAATTCCCATAACAACCTTAGTATTAGGTTTCCATTCTTCACTCTCCTTCAAAGACAAGGCAACATTCATACACTCAATTGCCCTCTCCAGCTCACCTTTATCCAAGTAGCCTTCCACAACTATTCCCCATATACTTGGTGATACTATTTTTCCTTTACTCTTTAAATCTTTAAGCATATTCTCCGCTTTTGCAAACAACTCCTTGTCAATATATCCACTAATAACTGTGCATGGCACTCGTAGATCATCACAGTTTCCAGAGCTCTCCCACTCTATAAGAAGTTTCTCTGCTTCATCAAGTTCGTCGAGTTTAACCAAAGATTTCAGCATCGTTATATAATTTTGATTAACAAGTTTCTTACAATTGCTCTTTGCAGCCTCCCATAATCTAAAGACATGTGATTTGTTTCCCAGCTTAGAGTGTAATGAGATAAGAAAATTATAAATTTCTCGGCTTTTCACATCAATCTTCTCTTCTGCTTTTGCAAGCATGAAATTTGCTTTCATAGGTAGCCCTAATTTGATGTAGCAATTTGCTATGGCAGCATATGTATTCCAGTCCATGATGAGATGTGTTTGGTTTTCCATTTCATTCAGAAGTTTTTCCATCCCATCAATATCTGACCGTTCTCCATATGAATTGATACAGGTTCTGTAGCTAAGATTATCAGGGCACACACCATTTTTCTTCATAAGATCAAGCACTTCGGGCACTTTTTCATACTCACCAATTCTTGTGTAAAGCCCCATTATGTCATTGAAGGCAACTGAGGTTAAGCTGAGACCTCTCTCCTTCATTTTCTGTAAATGGAGTAATGCCTTGTCAACTTGGAGCTGCCTGGCATAACAATGCAATAAAGCACCGTAAGTCTTTTCGTTCTTATCTTCTTCGCTCAAGCCATTGAAATACTCTTCGGCGGAGACTATCCCTTGAACCCTACCGATAAGATCCAAACGCATTGCATGCTCAGTTGCAGAGAATCTTATTTCAACATTCTTCTTTAACCAGTTAAAAACCTCAAGAGCTTGAGAGAAGCGCTTGCGCTTGCGCAGATCAATGGCAATGCGTTGAAGCTCTGCAAATCGCACCTTATTGCCTTGTCGCACCCATTCATCGAGCTGAGGGACTATGCTTGTGGTAGGGTTTCCCAAAGGGCTGATTTTGGAATACAAAGACATCTTCTTCACCACGTTCGTGCAGTACGATCGGATTCGAGTCATCCGCAGCATCATGTTAACCTGGGTCAGGGTTTGAACTAACAGTTGACACCTGAATCGCAATTTCGGACTGATGAATTAGGGGTTATTGGCACTGGTGGTCGAGTGTTGCAACTAATCCACTCAATCCAGTGGTAACCCGGACCTTGGTTTGAACTAACAGTTGTGTTTGATTCAACTTTACTAGTTAAATCAATAATGTTTTCTAATTTTAAAAAAAAACGTAATTTAAATTTTTAATCTAAACTTACCTGGCTGAGTGGTGAGCCTGAAATACGGGAATCCGAGTATTTTGCAGCGTGCTGGTGCGGTCCGTGCGGCAGTGAGGTAGGCGGTCGCAGGTGCAGGCGGGCGGACGCAGCGGCGGTGCGTCGGAGACTCGGAGAGTCGGACGTTCTGATGTCTGGTAAGTCTTGGTCGATGGGGAAGAAGAAGCTGTGAAGAGGCGGACCGCGGAACTTGACTGATTGTTTTTGGGCCGATAGTCCGATACAATGTTGGAGCCGGTCCATCTCCACATGAATTGGACAAGGGGAATTCTAAACGCGGCCACGATAATTTCCGTAAAAAAGAAAACTTTTAGAGCCCGTTTGGTAGCATCAAAATCGGCTGTTTTGGCTGATTCTGCTGAAATTTATGATATTCTGGCTGGAGTGGCTGTTTTGGCTGATTCTGCTGATTTAAGAAAAAAATATTTTAAAAATATATTTTATTAATAAATTAAAGAAAAAATTATATGTAAAAATAGCTAAAATGGTCCTCTACAGTAACTTCAGCCAATACAGCCAGAAAAGTAACTCCAACCTTACTTTTTCGGCTTATTACACAATTCAGCGCGCGAAAGTAAAAGTTACGTGTTTGGTGAAAAAGCTGGCTGATAAGCCTGATAAGCCGAAAACAGAGTTCTCCAAACGGGCTCCTATAATTCCTATAGTACCCTTCCAAATAAACCCGATCGGCATCTAATCCAGTGAGATTTTTGAAGACCCTTGTTTCTTCTTTGGATGAATGATCAGAACCGATCATGGAATTGGATGAAGAAGAAGCGCAAGGCTGGAACGCGCGAATGGAAGAAGAGAAGAAGAAGGAACGAGTCAATTGACCGGTACGAGAGCTTGAGAATGGATGTGTGTCTGTCTAGAGTTTTTTTTACATACGTATATTATACTTCCACTTAAATCATTACATACAGTCTCCTATTAGTTCATCTGAAGTCTGGAGTGCTTGAATCTGAAGTCTGGATCGATGAAGAGCAGATTAAAAAAAATGAAGTCCAAACTTCAGAAGTTTGAACGATGTTTGGAAACAAAAATTTAAGTAAAATCAACTTCTAAAAGTATAAAAAAAGAAGAAGGAACGAGTCAATTGACCGGTACGAGAGCTTGAGAATGGATGTGTGTCTGTCTAGAGTTTTTTTTACATACGTATATTATACTTCCACTTAAATCATTACATACAGTCTCCTATTAGTTCATCTGAAGTCTGGAGTGCTTGAATCTGAAGTCTGGATCGATGAAGAGCAGATTAAAAAAAATGAAGTCCAAACTTCAGAAGTTTGAACGATGTTTGGAAACAAAAATTTAAGTAAAATCAACTTCTAAAAGTATAAAAAAAGAAAGGAACATTGATTAATTAGATGAACACTCTATTAAAGGAATTCACGAGAAAGGGTTTGACTCTAATCAGATTAGCGAGACCTAATTTCAAATTAATGTACAATGTGTGAGATGAAATGGATGGTTTCTCTCCAGTTTCTATTCATAAGCGCTCGTCGTTGGTTCTTTAGTCGGACGCTGGTAAGAAACTGATTCACCAATCACTCGCTAGCCGGCTTTTCATGATCAAAAGGTAAATTGGTTATTTTGTTTAATACTTCCTCTGTCCCGCTATGATTGTCTCATTTTACTTTTTCGATCCATCCCACTAAAATTGTCTCATACCAAATTTGGTAAAATTTGTGTGGTTCTAAATCATTCTTACTTTATTCTTACTTTATTCATTCAATATCAACCACATAAATCACTTTTTATTAATTTGCGATCCACTTTCTCTTGTCCCATTGTTAGGGGGATGGAGGGAGTATTATTTATAATTATTTATTTTGGTGGTTGTATTTAGCAATAAGGGGACAAATATAGAACCTCCCATTGGACAATTATGTCTTGTGTCGCACTCCAAGACTCCAAGGGCCCGTTTGATATGATGCAAAGTTTGCATGCGAAGTGTGGGAAAGTAAACATTTTACACCGTTTGCTTTAATTATTTGATTAAACTGTAGGACACTTTTTAAAACATTTTACACTGTACCATGTAAAATATTTTACTCAGGGGGAGGGTGGTACTTTACACGGTTGAATATGCGGTTGAATACGGATGATAAAATACACCAGACTCTGGCTCTATCTTAAGCCCTACTTTCTAGGATCGGCATAATTTTAATTGGTTTTCTCTTTGAGAGAATCGTATATCTCTACATCTATACATACAATACATCTCTACAATATAATAAGCTTGAATGAAGGTTAGGGTATTGTGGGTATAAAAAATTTGTTGGTGGTATTCTAGGCTTGGTTGATATGTACATAATGCTTAAATGGTTGTAAACTTTCATCTTCAATTGCCTTTGCCTCCAACACTCCGTTTCTTTCCTGTTAATTGCCCGTTAGTTTATATTCTGAGGACCAGCCCTTTTCCGTATTTGTCTTCCTCTCGAGCCCAACAGGCCCATCGGTTCCAATCAGGAATTCAGAATTCCCTTCCTCTGTCCGCAGTTTGGCCGCAGAAGACCATCCCATCCGTTTGATGGAATCAGAAGCTTAATTGACATGTACAACATGTTTAAATGTTTGTAAACTTTCACTTGGCTTATCTCCTTGAGGCCGTTTGTCTCCGTTAATATTTCCAAAGCCCACCACCCTTTGGCTTCTCGTTTCCTCTTTAACCGCGCAGGAACATTCTGTTCGATCGAATAACATTGTATGATTGTATGACACAATCCTCTACCCGGTTGTACTCGCCTTCTCTCTCCTGTGTGTAAGTGGTTCATCCCCTGAATTGAAACTATGCTCATAGTTCACAGTTCCCAAATTGATCTAAGCGGCAACCATGGTTGAATTGCAAAGGGATCCATAACAGTTCTACACTTCTACGGTCAATTGTTTCCCGCTTATAGGTAGCTGGGTAAGTGTTGATATAGGTTTCCAATTTCTTGTAGTCGTGTTGTTAGCCCTTGTAGTCGTGTACTCGTGTAAATGCTTAGTTTATATCTAACTACATGCTTGTATTATATCTAATTCCTTTAGTTACTTGTAATAGGAGTATTGTTAACCATATTTTCAATTTTCATTCATTTACTTGCAATCAAACTTTATTATCTATTAAGTTAAGTATATATATCCATTCAATTAAGATAGACAACACTTAAGCATAGAGTTTGGATTGATAAAAACTACGGACTATTATTTAGAACAACATTTAGATACAGTAAATTAAATATAGTTGAATAAACAAAAGCACTAAACAGGGTGACATATGGTAAGGGGTAAAAGGTTAAATATATTTATATATAGGCAGGTTGATCATCAGTTCAGGCTAGCGAATTAGATGGAAAAGACTCTATATTCACATGGATGACGACACTTCATTTTAATTGTCTATCAAGAGAGGACCAGGCAACTTGGGTTTGAGAAATTACCATTTTGCACCTTCTGAAGAATTTGTTGTTTAAACTGAAAAGCTACGCGCTAGGATGGTGCCAGAAGGAATTGATAAGACTATAATAATAGATTGTGAGGATGTACTGCAAAGTGAACTTGGACACTTAGTAAGCTGCAGCACGGGTTAAAGGCAAAGATGGAGCTCTCCAATTTGCAGTGAGTCATCTTATTCCTGTTTCCTCTACTAGAGAGTACAGCTTTTATTGCAAGATGTGAGTGGATCTGTGACCACAATTTTCTAACTTTTAGTTATTTGTCAATTTTGGGTGATTATTAGCTCCATTTTACTTTTTAATTGCAGGAAAGGAGATTATTATTGGAACCTTGCCGATTTTAAAATTGGTAATGAAGAGAAAGAAGTTGTCGATCTGAAAGCATCTGAGGTACACATAATTGTAGTTTATCCCTTTTAGGCTATGCATGGATCATGAAATGGCTAGGGAAAGGGAAAAGTGGAAAACATTGCCAAAGAGATTTATTTACTTATGTTTGTTTTTTATCTCGAAAACTGCTAATGAAGGTACAAGTGACAAAGATTTAAATTGTATCACATGTGTTTTGATTTCTTAGTGTTTTTGTTATTCAAATGAATAACTAAAATTAGTTTGACCAAAATATAAAAAAACAATGATGTCGACTTCGAGAGTTCGGGACAACCTTTTATCCTCCTTTAAGTTTTCTTTTCTATCAATTTTTCTCAATTTTCCTTTCTGCCCCTCCCATTTTGTTTTCCTTAAAATATTTCCGGAGTTCCAAAAGACTTAGGACACGTTACTTCACGGGTTACTAAACGGTGCTTATTAAGACCCACTAGTAAACTCACTCGTGCGATGCACGGTTTGAGAATTTTTCTTTCAAATTTATGTGTGCTGAGTAATTCAAATCACACTATCAATTGATAACAACATGAAAGAGATTAAGGGAGTAAAATATGTGAAAGTGTGTTATGTCATTCTTGAATTATACTTGAATCTAAATTTGTGGGAAAATGTTCAAATAGGTGCTTCTACTATTTCTAATATCCAAGTATGGTCTGGTCTGATTTATTTAAGTTTGGTTTGGTCTGAGACTGAAATAAGTGTAAGGATAAACATCTCAAGTAATATGGTGACTATGCATTTATACGAATTGCATTTTTTACACGAATTGTCCGGGTAAATTGGCAAATCAGGGAGGTGAATTTGACTCGTGTAATTAACTTCAATTAAATTTGGAAAAAAAAAACTTGTAATTTTACTTAAATCGTTAAGAATTTACTTCTTACAATTATAAAATTTGACGTGAAATGAAACATATACAATATGATTTACCAATGATCACTCTTCACACAACCACACAAATAATTTGTTTGGATAGTAGCATGTGGAGCAAAAATGTTATGTTTCTTACACCACAAATGCTAATAATTGCAGATTTGGGCTGAAAACGCTGATTAACAAACAGCCCGAAGGGTAACCATGAATAAAACAGGGGTTCTTAACAATAAACCAACACACGATAAGACTGTTTTTGACTTTTATTTATAGTCATGACATGATAAGTCATTTGTTAGACGAATTGCATTTGTTAGACGAATTGCATTTGTTAGACGAATTGCATTTGTTAGAGGACTAGCATTTGTTAGACGAATTGCATTTGTTAGACGAATTGCTTTTGTAAACTGGCAAATCAGGGGGGTGCAAATATGTGGAAATATGTTATGTCATTCTTAAACTATGCTTAAATATAATTTTATGTGAATATGTTCAAATAGGTCATGTACTAATAATGTAGAGGACAAATCTAGGTATTTATG